CGGCCATGTCCCACCCTGCAGAGCTGGGGTGAGGAGCAGGCTCGAGCCTGGCTGGGGCAGGCGGCCGGGATACCCTTCCCGTCCCCGGTAGCTGCTGACCCATCCCACCAGTCGCTGCCTGCTCAGGCCCCTTCTGCCCATCCTCCCCCCATTAGATGGCACTTTGCTGGCTTCTCCCCCACTCCGCTCCTCCGCACGAGTCCAGCACACTCCTGTGTTTTGATGAGGATGTTCACTCCCAAGGCATGTTTCCGTGCTCCAGGGTAATAATAAATATCAGACAGCGAATAAAACAGAACGTGTTTTTTATCTGTAACCCGCAGAGGTGATACAGGCAGAGGGGATGCAGCAGTGGCATTTGAAGTGACGTCAGTGCTGGGCTGGGAGGCGGCATTTCTTTTTCTCTCCACTCTGCGATGTCAACGCAGGCACTGAAGTCTCCCGTTTCTGATCAAAAATGCATGTGAGGAAGGGTTTCCACTGGGTCGAACACAGTGCTTGTGCTCCTGCTGATCCTGAAACCCGCCGGCGATCCTTACTGCCTGCCTTTAGCTGCACGACGGCCTCTGGACGCAGGCTCAGCTGCAGGGGAAAGGCCATCCCACCATCCCTAAACCACAGCTGATCCTGGTGCGTCCCGACCCTTCCCCGCCTGGAAAACGGCCGGGGAGATTGCTCTGGCTGCAGGCGGTGGGTTTGGTGGGGAACTGACCCACATCACCTGTGGTTTTCCTTCACTCGCGTACCCTCCTGCCCACCTCACCCTTTTCTCATCACACAAGTATTTATTTGCCTTTGCTGTGTTTCAGCAGCAGCACCCAGGGATCACCTGGGGGGCACACGGCGCTGTCGCAGGTAATCCTGCCCAAACAGCTTATCTCCCCAGCAGGCAGGACAGGCAGCAGACAGGCAGGGACATTCCTCCCGGCACAGCCAGGCCAGGAAACACCGGGCTGGAACGCACTGCCGGGAGCCCTCCGGGCCCCTCGAGGCAGCCTCCGCTGCGGTCACCTCCGCACGCGTCCATCCAGCCTTTAGAAACCATCACAGTCCCAGTGTGGCCCACATCAGTGCTGAACTGCATCTCTTGAGGGAGATTGTTCCTGATAAGAAATGTGAATTTCTTGGGGCCGTCAATGCCTCATTTCCACAGGTTTCTCACTCTCTCTGCCAGCACCGAAGGCCATACCAGGCCCAGCCCAGTGTCTCTGCCTCTGTACTCACTCCCCCACCTTGGAAAGCTTCTCCCGATGTTCTCCCAGCTGGCGTTGGTGGTCCCGTGCTTCCAGCAGTGTGGCATTGAAAGGCAGGGACACAGATTCCTCAACCCCCACTTCACCCCGGGAGCCAGACACTGCTGAAGTCTGTGTAAAACTTGTTCTTTTTACCTTATATTTCAGCAGGAAGGTTTGTATGTGAGGGAAAGGGGGAGTTGGGACCTGTCCCGTCCTGGCAGGGCGACTGGTGGGTTTGCACTGACCCCAGGGCAGCTCTGCCACAGCCCCGAGCAGCGAGGGAGCCAGCAGCTGCCCAGGCTTGTTTGGTTTTTAAAGGCTTTGTTATTTGTTTGACACAGTTTCTGTCTGTTGCCATTTGCTTTTGGTCAATGTGTTACAAAAAGAGAAGAAAACATTGGAGAAAACATCCACGACATCCTTTGTATGAGCTGTAATTTGCTTTATTTTGAATTTTGCACTAAGTGGTGTTTTAAGCCCTTCTCCTGGAAGGGATTTGGTTATGTGGGAGTCTCTAACTTAATTAAAAAAAAAAAAAAAAAAGCCTGCTCGCCCTCGTGGCCATGCACAGGGGCTGGGAGAAGGCACGGGAAAAAATGAGGGGGCAATGAAAGAAACCCCCAGCCCGGTAGTTCTGGGGGGTCCATGGTTTCTGTAAGCCCCTCTCCAGATTCGGGCAGCAGGAGCACTTCCTCCTCCTCACCCTGAGCACGGGGACGCCCGGCACTGGGGGGTGACACACGGGGAGCCGGTGGAGGGGGTGGAGGTGGATGAAGCCAAACTGCTGCGAGGGCGTCCTCCAAAACAGCGGCCCCGGCACATCCCGAGGGGGACAGGCTGTTCTCAGCACGGGCACTGGCGCAGCCGCCTGCCCCGCACAGCCGAGACGCCTCTGCCATGGGGATTCTCCACCATCTAATAAGGGTCGGGCTCCACACCGCTGCTTTCCCTCCCGTAGGGGCATTAGAAGGGTCTCCCATGAGGAAGGGTTTCACTGGGCGCATCAGAGCACGCTGCAGCCACTCTGCCAAACCACAGCGGACGGGGTTTGTGGTACGACAGCCAGCTCTGGCGCAGCCCGTGCTGTGCCAGTTCGCGCTGAGGAGGAGCTGGTCGCGGGTGATGGCACGCTTGGTCCGTGCAACTACCAGCTGCAGAGCCGCTTCCCAGCGGGCAGAGGAACCAAGGTCTTTGCAGCGGTGGGCTCCTCCCGGCCCTGCTGCACCAGAGGTTCAAAACCCTTTAGCAAAGGGATGGAGCCAGGCTAGGCTGGGCTGGGAATCCCACACGGGGCACCAGCTCCGAGAACCAAGCAGTTATTTTGAGGCAGGACAGGACAAATCCATGAGTTCTGCCTTTTTATGAGAGCTACTGACACTGCACAGGATCACAAAGCAGAGGCAGGAAAGCCCCAAGCCCATTTTTGGGAGGCCTGAGCAGTGTCTCAGCACATCCCTCTGCCCTGGGGTCCCCAAAGGCTGAGCATGTCTCCAGGCACAGGGGTCAGAGCACAGCGATGCCCCAGCTCTGTCGCTGGTTTGTCTGGAGCATCCAGCCCCGTGATGTCCAGAGGAGGTACAGGAGGCCCCAAGGGCTGCTGAGCATCTCCAGAGTGCAGAAGAGGGGGTGCACAGGCGCAGGCTGCCCCGCCGAGCCCCCCCAGGCTCCTGCCAGCGCCGCATTTCCCTCCTGCCCCCTCGCAGGCGTTCCTCATGATAGCACCCGGCCACATGTGATTTACTTCGATCTTGGCACCGAGACCAGAGTGCTGGAAAGCGATCACCCAAATTCTGGTAAGTGCTGTGCTTCCCCTTCCCGAGAGGGACAGGTTCCCAGCAGCAGGAGGGCAGGATCGATTGGAAACCGTCCACAGCGGAGAAACCCAGGAGGGAGGCAGCTCCTGTCGTTTCGGCGGCAGCTCCGGGTCTGCGTTGCGTCAGCTGCACTCTGCTCCCTGCCGGTCCTGCTGCTGGTCCCACTGCCCCCCCGGCTGGGGTGGTGGAAAAACAGGCTCCCAGGAGGTGAAATCCTGCCCGGCCCTCCAGCAACGGGCAGCTGGAGCGGGACAAGCCAGGGGCTCCCTGCAGGGCCCCCCCAGCACACTTGGGGTGTCCCCAGGCCCCCTCGGATCCCC